ATCATTGCCTGAATACAAGAGTAGCCCCAGACACATCTGAAAAATTATTTATGTATATACAATATTATTTAAAACTAAGAAGTGTACTGCTATCAACAAAGTATAAACATATTGAAATGGGGGTTTAAAATATTAACTCCTTACATAGGGGTATATAAAACCCTACAAGTTCTGAGATAGTGTGGGGATAGAAAATAATTTCCTACAAAGGGGTCATTTTTAAGCTGTGTAAGAACCATATGTTCTCCTTAAATATAGGGAGTTAATGGCCCAGGGAAAAATTTTATAGATCACCTCTGGAAGCTCATATAGATTCCAAGGAGAAAAGAAGAGTAATTGTGGAGGTACTATTGTGTTTATCCAGAAAAATTAGTTAAATTTAACAGATACGTCTAGTTAGGAGTTATTTTCACTTCCACCACTAAGGGCACAAGCTTATCCCCCAAACTGTTTATACAGGATTGAGATGTTTTAATAAATTTTGGAATTCTGAAGGGCAGGTAAGAAAGCTAACTGCAGGGGTGTGATTTTATAAAGAAACAGATCCTGGACAGAACTATGACAATGCTAAAGCATTGTCAAGGATGCCCTCTAGTGAAAATGGCTATAGTTACTGTAAACATAGTAGTGTTGTAATAGTCAACAAGATTAGCTTAGAACGCAAGAAACTAAATTTCCTATTGTTTAGCACAGTGAATGACTCGCATGTTTTAAAAAGAAATAACTTGAGAGTCCTCCCTATTATAATGCCTAATATCATTACATGGACAGAAAGTATGAAGCAAGAGGACAACTTCAGTTTTACAGTTCACACACTAATATTTATTGATATTTGTATGATTCGTCTAAACTATGGACAACATCCTGTAAAAAAAAAATAAGAAATAATAATAATATGTCACAAAGAACAGTTGTAGTTGGTACTATACTAAAACTGTTCCTGTCAGAAGCACTTTTTGGACTCATTAGTTGGACATCTTGGTACTACGAAAAATAGACTGAATATGGAGTAGATAAGTGAAATGCTTTACTATGGAAAAATGACACTGGAACTCTAACCTGTGTTGCAAAAAAGTGATCATAGTTAGAACATTTTAACTTTGGATCAATGCTTGAAAGGTTCAGAGTTGGTTGAATGAAACAGTGCATCAGGATAGTGGTAAGCCATAGACTATTTCACAAAGTTGCTTGAGTTATATGTTAGACCAAATTAAATAGACAACCACTGTACGTCATATCAGAAACTTAAAAAATGAGTCATAACTAGAATCTTCAGCTTGCACTTATGTTCTGAGGCCTTTGCCCTACCATTTTCAATCTTCAAAGAGACAGACCTTCATCTCAGTTATTGCATTCACCCCTTCTTCCTCCCCCAAATAATTTCAAAAGATGCCCTCATCCCAATCAACCCCACCACTTTGTATCTCACATATTTCAGTATGTTTCATTTATTAAATTACAATACAGTAAGGTTAATTTGTGTTCATACTCCGTGTACTGTATTTAATCTCGAGACTTCTGTCTCATATTAATATTTCCTAGTTGTTTTGCACTATAAAACGCCAAACAACCATATTAATATTCTGATGCATCACCACCTGTGTGACCAGGGCTCCAAGACATTGTTGACTTGTTACTGAAAAGAAATTCAAGAATGATGTTTGTGAAACCAACGTTCCAGCATTCTGATATTCTCACCCAGAAAAAATGTTGCAATGCTCTGTGAATACCATGCTACTGTTAATTCTAGAGTTACTGGTTTTTTAAACAGTTTTGTTTCTAAATGTTTATACACCAAATTACTTGTGGGTTCATGGCTGTTCTTTACAAAGCCCCCTAATGACATATCATTTAAACTAAAATAACATCAGTGCTTGCAGTTAAAACCACTAATTACTGTTTTGGTACCATATGTGACCCCAATTGGTAGTGAGTAGCATAAAGAAAAGCCAGTAATTAGGGGATTAACATGTTCAATTAAGTGTCAATTAATATATCATCCTGAGCACTTCATTCACAGGCAAAAATATGAAATTATTCAATATGTGACCCCAATTGATAGTGAGTAGCATAAAGAAGAGTCAGTAATTAGGGGATTAACATGTTCAATTAAGTGTCAATTAATATATCATCCTGAGCACTTCATTTTTATTGGTAGCTGTATTTCCAGCTCCCAACTATGTTTGGTAGGTGTTTTTTTGTTTCTTCCCTTGTACAGTGGTGTATTTATGTCTGTGCAGTTGGGGCAATGCACACAAAAACTTATAAATTTCTATACCTATAGGTGATCAACATAAATGAGCCCCTAAGAAAATTGCACCAAGTAGTTTGAAGTATTAAAGATGCCTGGGTCCTTGTACAAACTTTACTTAAGCAGATGGGCAGAAGGGTCTTTGTTATGAATAATAAGCTGTCTTATTATCCAAGGTTCTATTCTGAAAATAGTGTTTATTTAATTATTCTTTTGATTAGTTAGTTTGTGGTCAATTTTGTATTATTTAAATGATAAGTTTAATTCTGCAAATGTTATATAGTTGTAGTTTTTTGCCTTCCTGCTGACAGCTTTTAGCAAACAATCAGACCATATATGAAAGTCCTTACAGTAAAGTTAAAAATCAGGGTATTTAGCAAAATAAATGTCATAACCTGATTGTGCCAATTTTCAATTCAACATAATGTATGTAGATAGGTAAGTGACCAATTAGATCCATGGGTGAATAATTAAGTCCTTTAGTATAACATAATCACTAAAATGTTGCATAGTTGTTTCATTTAAGAAGTGAGTGTGTGGTAATTTAAAAAAGTCACAGGACTATATATGTTGAAGCTGTAGAAAATTTTTTTAAATGAGACTATTTGTGTTTTATCACCAAAATCATGTGCACGTGAAATGGAAAATTACATCAGAAGAATCTGAATGCATGCAATACATTTAGAAATCTGATTGCAAAAGTAAACTTTATTGATTTGATCTGAAAAACAATATAGATGGTTTGATTAACTAAATCGAGAGTGGTTGTTTTTTACTAATGTGTTTAAAGTGTATAATGTACAATTTTTCATTGTATTAAAACTAGGGATGCACAGGTACCCGGCCAGACGATTGGCCCCAGCTGGGTATTGGGGTATCCGGTAATACCGGATTTGGCTGAGTGTCGAAGTTAGGCATCTAAGCCCTAATCTTTGTGGCAACTAACACAGTACTGAAAGTTAGAGTCAATAATTGGTTTAGTTATAAAAAAACGTGTTCTAAACAACAAAAACTGACCACCCGCTGAAAGTCAGGGATTCAGAGAACATAGGGGTTAATAACAAGCATGGCTTTATAAGTGGATTTCTGGGGAAGGTAGGGGTTTTGAGAACAATAGGGGTTACGATTTGAGAAGTTGGGCTAAGCATTGAAAGTTGAAAGTAAAACTTGAATGTTCTGTTGGTGATTATTTGGTTAAATGTAATAAATGTTAATTTTGTTTTTGTTTCTAATTTTTGTGTATGTTATTGTTTTTTTTTTGGGGGGGGGGGCAAGGAAAGAACCCAGTCCCAGTTGACACCCGGCCAAAACTCAGTGACTGGGTACCCAAACCCGGTATTTTGCCAAATTTTACTACTCATGCATCCCTAATTAAAACATTTTATACTTTTTTTATATTGGTATTTGTTATTATGGACCATTAAACAACTAAAATTCAAAACAAGATGGAAACTTGTCATTATTTAAAAACAACTCTTTAGAGTCTCATAGTCTTTATTGTATGATAAAACTCAATAACGTTTGGTATTATTTAGTTACTTGTAGATTACCTGATTGTACACTGTACAGTTTATGGACCAAAGGACATTGTTTTACAAACATGTAATGCAGAAATGTGCTTCTCATTTTAGGGCTGTGGGTGTGCTATAAAAGTGATGGTTGTATCCCACTATTCAACCAGATAAGAATCAGTGACTGGTGTTTTGACTAGCAGCTTTCTATCTAATGTGTCAGTTCAAAATTAGGTGGCTATCTGCAGAGAGCCCTTGTGGAGGTTTGTGCAAAAGATCTAAAAATCAAACAAACTTCATATATACAACATCAGAAATGATTATAGAAACAGTGAATAAATTAGGCATAAAATGCAAATAAAGGAATGCTCCTTCTCTGTTATATGAAAATGAATTACACCAGATTACAGTCACATGTGGATAATTTATACTGTGATTGGTTGTCATCCAATCAACCATACAGTTCCATATCAGCATAATGCCTACTACTGGTAAATGTACTATTCCCAGCAATAGTATGTCAAATGCACTCGTGGCTCCTTGAACAGAAGTGCTACATGATGATAAATGTGTATAAATAAAAGTTCTTGCTAGTGAAATATACTCCAATGACAAATTGAGATAAAATTTCATGTTTCAGTAAAAGATGTGTGGGAACTCTAAAGAAGGAGTGTGAAATGAGTACTATTGATAATATAAGTAATTGAGGTATAAAGTCCAACTCTTCAAAGGTGATATTAAAAACTCATGGTATACTATTTACATGATAATCCAGTGGAACTCTCAACAATGATCTAGCTATAAGTACAGGTGTGAATATTGCATTAAGAATATTAAGATACTCATTAACACTAATGACCTCAAAAATTGTTGACAGGTGCAATAATATTCTTATCCATCGTGCCATTCACACAGAAAAATGACCTGTTGGGCAGGGATTAATCATTTAGTAATACAATAATTCCAAGCATGGAGAGGAAAAAGCCAATGGAGCACTTGCAACCATGACTTCTCTCTTTGAAGAAAATGCAAAATATTGGTTTTCTTTAATAATTTCTCTATTTAGTGTACTAATAACAAAATTGACCATTTTGTTGCAATTACTAATTGTTTGTGACTCCTATACATATATTCTGTGTATTCCATAATTGTTTCCAGTACAGTATATTTATGAGTATAGTATGTATTGCTCAAAACATTGTATATATATGTTTTCCATTCATCCTCTTCTGTTTTAGCATCATCACGATGGAATAGAGTACAATCATTCAGTACCCACTGTTTCTGTCACACCAAATCTTACAACAGGATTACCAGCTGGTATGTTCACAATGGGAACTCCAACCAGTATTGCTGAACAACTATTGGTTGCTGTCCAAAACATGAATGGTGCTACCTCTGCTGACTCCAATGAAGCCTCTAAAGGAGAGAGCTCAGGTAACAATCTGGATTATTATAATTAATTTTCTAGAACAGTGATCATAAAATTTTACAGTGGTGATATAGGAGAAGGGCTGTTCAGAAGCATTAACTGCCATAGATATTTAATTCTGTAAAAATTAAAATATATTATCTTAACATTAAATATTCAATAAAATCATCTTGTTCTTTATGAGATGCTGATTCCGAGAAAAAGTATTCATAAAAAAGGTCATGGTGATGACAGGATTATGTTTTGTTTGTTTTCAAATACTTGCGCAAAGGTACTCAATTTGGGTTTGGTTGTCACCTTTGTAATGAACCAATGGCTCCAAACTGTGGAGTGTAATTTTTTATTTTTGACAGTAATGAATCATAAATGATGAATCTGAAAATCCACAATCCAGCATTTTAACAACTGTGGCCATACTTGCCATGATGGGTGCAGGGGGACAAAATAATTTTAATCTTTTAGAAAACAGATACCTTGGTAAACTTAAACATTGAAGTAATTAATAATTTTTCAGCCAAAGTTACACAAATATATGTTCTGAATTATCTAAGTGTAATGAATATTTGTAGTAAAAACATTCAAAGTATGAAGTAAACTGTATCTGGCATTAATTGAATTAAAAACAATTCTTTATCACACAGCGAAACCTGCCAAGTTTTAGCAAATGATTTTTATTGTTTTTATAAAATGATACATTCTAATATATTTTGTCTCTGCCATTTAATGAGATGTGAAAGAAAAAATATTAAACTGACTATAATTTTCTTTTGACCCATTCATTAAAGTTAGACTGTTTTGTGGAATAGGTCTTCTCATCAGCTACTTAGAAATAGTGCAAACCAAAGTTGTTGTTTTTCATTTAAAAAAGCAAAGACTGAGAATGTCTTTACTTTTGATGTATTTATTCATTGTTCTATTTGCTCGAAAAGACATTAATTTGCAAACTCGCTTTAAGACAAGATCTGGGATCAAATTTCATTCAGATTATTTTATACTATACAGAGCTGATGTCAGATTTTTCATACCTCACGTTTCCTTGTTCAGTATTACACTGTTTTGCATTGTTAGCTCATGACATGTATTTACGACTAACGTTAGTCTTCTAAGCTGGCCAAATGTTGTAAGATATTATTGGGTTGGCCAAAAATATTGTTAATGGCAAGGGTACTCAACTGATGAAACAATGCATTATAATCCTAATAAAAGTATACTTAATTAGTTATGATCATTACCAGGTTGATGTTTTAGTTTTGCTCTAAGTAGGTAGCTTGCTGTGATCAGAAGTTAATATTAATACTAATTACTAACAGTAACATGCTAGTACTTTTATAAAGTCACAAGATAATTTTCATTTTACATAGAAAAACTTATATTTTATAAATATTAAACAATACAGCCAAAATAAAGGTTAGAATAATAATCTTAAAAACCCAGTACTGGTCATCACTTCAGGGAACAGTTGATCATAAGAGCAAGCCTTTATGAAGACGTCACTAATATAATTGCAAATCTAAGCTAAGGAAGGAATTTATGTATGGTTTAAATTTTTCCAACTTTATGGTAGATTATATAATTCACTGTTGGTTTGAAGTACTGAGTGGAAACCAAAACATAGAATCACAAATTTCTGGAGTCATAAGTGGAACCCAGAATAAAGCTTTACCAATTTCAGTTTATTTATAACTAATGAGTAGTCAGTTCTGAAACTATATAGGATAACAATGAACTAATGAGTTTTTGTTAAAGCAAAAACCTACTGTTAGAATACTCAAATCCACATTCTTTGACTAAGATAGTATTTGCTTCTGAGGTACCTGCTTCTGATGCAGTAAGATTAATTTCTAAATGACAGGAGGACATGTGACTTCTCTATTTTGCCTAAATGTTTTTTATTATTCTAGCTGAATGAAAATACGCTTATATTTGGTTTTGATTGATTTGAATGATCCACAATTAACTTTTCATAGTCTCATGCTTGAGATAAGTGGCCAGTCTGTAATATACTTTTATTACAAATATTTATCACATTATTTCAAAACTAGTTATAAATAACAACTACAAGGTTAACTATGACTGTAAAAAAGTAAGTAACACCTTTTAGGAGAATTAAAAACTCAACATCTGTTATATATATTTTCTTGGCATCTTTTTCCTTCTGCTTAATGAATACCCTTTAATATCTGTTCATGACAGATATATTAATATAACTGTGAACTCCATTTTCATTAAAACATAACATATCATAATATTTTGGGACAACATGGGACCTACTGGTCCATCTCGGCTGTTCCATCCTCAAAACTAAATTAAAATGATTAAAAAAATAAAACAAAAAATTTTAAACCCAGCCCTTTTCATTCATATACTTATCAAGCTTTTTCTTAAACTCACTTAAATTTACTGCCTCTACAACACCTGAAGGCAACCCATTCCAAAGGTCAACCACCTTGTTAGAAAAATAAAACTGTCTTAGCTGAAGATGACTTCTACCTTGCCAAAATTTATATTTGGGTCCCTTAGTCCTACTATTCTCATTGTTAAATATAAAAAAGATGATACACCAACACTATCAGTTCCCTTTACAATCTTAAACACCTCAATCAGATCTCCCATAACTCTTCTTTTTTCAAGAGAAAACAATTTGAGAGATTTCAGCCTCTTGTCATA